GGCGGGCTGCGCCCCCAAGCCTGCCTGCCCCCGCACTCGCAGCCCCTCTGCGCCGCCAAGGAGCAGCCAGCTCCAAAACAAAACAAAAAAGAGGCGATTCCAGGAGGTGGCGTCCCTGGGAAGGAGGGAAGAGCCGAAGGGGAGGTGAGGGGTGGAGAGAGGGAGGGAAGAGGGAAGGAGGAGGAAAGCAGGCCGGGGAATCGGGAGAACTCCGCCGCACTTCCGTGCGTCCCGGCGGGACAGGGCGGCGCGACTCCGCCCTCCCCGGGCCTGGGGCGCCGCGACCCGGTCCCCGCCTACGACTGCGCGCTTCCCATCAGGCCGAATCCCTCTCTCGCTCGCCCAGGCCAGCAGGTGACCTGGCACCCAGAGACCGACTTCCAGGACGGACGTTCGCCAGGACGCCCCCCACTGCACTGCAGGTCCGCCCTCCGGAGGCACCTCTCGTCCCCAGGCGTTTGAGCTCCGCGCAGAGGCGCTCGCCAGCCGCCGCCTAGCTGCTGGACTCCGTCACCCTCCTGCCTTTTCCATGACGCAAGTGGAGGAAAACTCCGAAAGTTTGCACAGCGCGGGGCCGCTGGGAGGGTGCCGGAGCCGGGAGCCGGCGGGGGAGAGCACGGCGTGGCGAGTCCCGGCTGGTGGTAGCGGAGCCAAAACGCCCGCTTCCCACCTACACGCACCTCGCCGGGCCAGAGCCTTAGAGCAGCTCGCGGTTCTCGGGAGGAGCAGAAGCAGCCTGCGCGTCCCAGGCGTCTGACCTGGGATACTGGCTGCCGTGGGTCTCAGTCTCCGAGCGAGACCCTGTCCGGGTGACTGTCTCCAGGGACTGTCTCCAGGGTAAAAGCCAGGCCTCTGCATCCGGGCGACCGGGAACCAGCTTAGGCAGGACCGGACTCTGCGCTCTGTGCGGCGGCGGGACTGGACGGCTCTGTCCTGGTCAAAGAGAGGTGGGCTCTGAGAAGAGGCCCGCGGGGACCTGACCCCCAGCCAGCTTAGCCAGGAAATGGGTTGTGGTTATGGGCATCCTCTTGGGCTCTGGGGGTTACTGTCAGAGTTCCAACCTTGGGGGGCTTGTAGCCCGCTCTCTTTCGGTATAAGATTTTGCTATAGGAGAAATATTACAGAGAGAGAGAGAGAGAGAGAGAGGCCAAGTGTCATGTGCCGGGAGTGAGTTTCAAGCCACCAACCACCAGTTCCGGGACTTGAACCACAATCAGTCTTGTGGGAGTCCAGTATCTTAACCACTATGCTACCTGCAGGCCCTGTTCTCTGGTCTCTAATTCACCCATCTGTGTCTCCCACTCATTCATCACACACTCGGGAGACAGGAGCCAGTCCTACTCTGTACCAGTCCCTGGGCTACAAAAGACAGACAAGAGATTGTCTTTTCCTTGCAGAAGCTCAGCCGCGCTGGGACAAGCAGACAGATGCCCCCAGCCTGGTGGGGTGAGGCTCAAGGAAGCCTACTGGGGGTAGGCAGAGGCTCCAGTCTTCATCCTTTTCCTGATGGCCCTGAGCCTGGCTGCCCCCTCTAGCTGAAGTTCCTTCCCCTCTTCCTGCTCTTGCAGATTGTCTCCTGCTGCTGTGAGGAGGCATGGTCCCCAGACCTCTGACTCTGAACCCCATCTCACTGCAATGAGTAGATGCAGCTCCCTACCCAGGGCTGTATGACCTCAATAAAGGCTTATGGAGAAGCCCCATAGCCTGGGCATTCATTTGCACAGAGAAATATGACTATCAAGCAGAATTAATATTTTTTAAATTATTTTATTTCATTTTATTGATTCATTCATTTATTTTAATTTGACCAGAGAGAGAGAGGGAAAGTGAGAAAGCAAGTCACCAGGTCTAGGACTCAAACCATGGTCTGTCATGTGGGAGTGTCCAGCACCTTAACCACCACGCCACCTGCTGGTCCCCAGAACTAATTTTGTTTTTTTTTTAAGTTTTGCTATGTTTTGGCATGTGCACTCACCAGAGACAGAGAGAGAGAGAGAAAGTGAGAAATACCCCCCAAGGGAGATAGCCACTGCAAACCCTTCTTCTGGTCTCCCCTAAGGATTTTGGACACATACACACATGTGCCTGGCATGTTTTTCAAGCCTCTAGGTCTGGGACTCTAACCATGCACCTGGTCATGTGGGATCCAGCCACCGTGTCCCCAGAACTGGATTTTTGCATCAACAGGTTAAAGCAGTTTGGGCTGCTCTTTGGAAAGCCCAGTTACCAAAAGTTAACCCAGGGAGCCTGAGCCCCCAAGAGTGGGAGAGTGACAGTATGGCAAGTCTCCCACCTGAGAAGCCTTAAAACTTTGTCCCAGCCATCTGGACATTCTTGATGTCCAAGAGCAGAGTCTGTGTTCCCCCCAACTGCTTTAAAAAAGTTAATTACATTAATTAATTAATTTTTCATTTGACCAGAGAGAGACAGGGAAAGTGAGGAAGCAAGCTGCCAGGTCCTGCACTCACACCACCGCGGTCAGCCATATAGGAGTCCAACACCTTAACCAGGCACCACCTGCTGCCCTCCCCCGCCCCGCCAGCTGCTTTTAGGACTGTCCTCCCCGTTCCTGCCATCTCTCTTCTGTTCACATAGCCTTTCTCCAAGCTGGACTTAACAATAGCACCTGCTTCTGGGGCCAGTGGGTGGTGTGGTGGTTAAGGTGCTAGATTCCCCCATAGCCAACCAACCCAGCAGCTTGAAGATATGCCAGGCATGTGTGCATGCGAATCCAAAATCCAAGAGGAGAATGGAGGAGAAGGGATTGCAGTGTGACCATCCCTCTTGGGGGTGATTTCTCACTTTCTGTCTCTCTCTCTGACTCTCTGGTGAGCACACAAGTAGCATACACACACCCTATAGCTAAAATTGAAAAACAAACAAACAAACAAACAAAAAACAAACACGACTCTCTTAGTGCTTGCTGAGCGTGTGCCACTGTTATAAATGCTTGACCTTTGCCAGTTCACCTGATACAATGGGTGGCATTTCTGCTCACCTAACTAGGGTCAAGTTCGGGGCTCCCGAGCCACCACCTTGATGGCCTTTAGTTGGTCCCCAGACACTCCAGTCACACATTTACAAACACCTTGCATTTATCCTCATATCTGTTCTTGGTGGGCTTTTCTAACTCAGGGACCACTCTTACTTCCAGGGTCTTCTTCAGCCTCAGAGATTTCTAGAACCTCTCTTTTCTGCTCTCTCTCCTCCACAGTTCCTCTTCGGGCCTGGGGGAAACAGAGTCCCGCAATTACTAGACTCAAAAAAACTGCAATCACTTTTCTGATTTCCCCGTACTCCCCATGCTTTTGGAACATCTCTTTATTTATTTTTTTAATGATTTATTTTTATTTATTCATTCATTTATTTTAATTTGACCAGAGAGAGAGAGGGAAAGTGAGAAAGCAAGCCACCAGGTCTAGTATTCGAACCGCCGTCGGACATGTGGGAGTGTCCAGCGCTTTAACCACCATGCCACCTGACAATGAAAAGCATAAAAATAAACAAAATGATCAGCGAAGAAGCTAGGTGGCGTCAAAGACCAGAGCAAAAAAAGGGGCGAGTCACTGGTCGCTACTTTCAAAGGTAATTTATAAGTCTAACTAGCCGGAAAGACGTTCAATTTGTTAACTCAATTATAGGTGGCCAGAAATCCACCCAACCAAATTAGGGGTTACAGTCCGTTTCCCACTCTCTTGGGTTTTGTGGATCATCTGACACCTTGGTTAACAGTACTGATCTCCAGGAGGAAAAAAGAATTTCCAATTATGTGCACTTAAGCATCGGTCAGGGAATCCGGTCAGGGAATCCGCCTTTCATAGGTTCGGGGCTGTCCAGCCCCACGTGGCAAGCCGGCCGGGGGAAGTGAGGGGCTGCAGTTACCCCCGCCATCATCGAACAGGCCTGGCAGACACCCGTCTTCGCTGGAACTGGCCTCTTCAACTGACGCATGGGAGATTCGCCCGAGACTCCTCAAAAGGCAGAAGTCTGCGAGGAATCGAACGCTGCACCAGGGGACGCATCCGCAGATACTTAGGACCTCCGGGAGCAGGGAGCCGCTCCCTCCCGCGGCGAACCGGAAGAAGACAAGAATCGCTCAGGCATGGAGGCGTGGTCTCACTCCGACCAATAGGGATTGGGGGCGTGGCCCAGACTCTCTTTTTCATTGGTCCAGGGAGCGCAGGGTGGTCTTTCTGCGCGGAGGAGGAAGTTCCTCGCTGCCCCATCTCTGAGCTTTGGGTCCTGCCGCGCTCGCTGACGCCATCATGGTGCGGAAACTGAAGTTCCACGAGCAGAAGCTGCTGAAGCAGGTGGACTTCCTGAACTGGGAGGTCACCGACCACAACCTGCACGAGCTGCGCGTGCTGCGGCGTTACCGGCTGCAGCGGCGCGAGGACTACACGCGCTACAACCAGCTGAGCCGTGCGGTGCGCGAGCTGGCGCGGCGCCTGCGAGACCTGCCCGAGCGCGACCCGTTCCGCGTGCGCGCCTCGGCCGCGCTGCTGGACAAGCTGTATGCCCTCGGGCTGGTGCCCACGCGCGGCTCACTCGAGCTCTGCGACTTTGTCACGGCCTCGTCCTTCTGCCGCCGCCGCCTGCCCACCGTGCTCCTCAAGCTGCGCATGGCGCAGCACCTCCAGGCTGCTGTGGCCTTCGTGGAGCAGGGGCACGTGCGCGTGGGCCCCGACGTGGTTACCGACCCCGCTTTCCTGGTCACGCGCAGTATGGAGGACTTTGTCACCTGGGTCGACTCGTCCAAGATCAAGCGGCACGTGATGGAATACAATGAGGAGCGCGACGACTTCGATCTGGACGCCTAGCGGGTCTCCCTCGCCATAGCTGCCTTTGACAGGTGGGACAGTTGCGTCCTGATGCTGGAGAGCCTGTGACGGTGCTCTTCCCAGACGATGTCAGACGCCGCGTGTTCTTAAGAACTTAGCTCCTTAACCTCAGGCCACGCAGAGAGGCAAGGGTAGCCTGTACGTGTTTTCCTGAAGTTTTCTTACAGCTCGGACTGATAATTAAAGGACTGTGCCTTGGGAGCCGGGGGCGGGTTGAGGCAGCTTTGTGCTGCGCTAGGGACTCGTTATACCCCAAACGCTGTACATGCAAGAACTTAACCCTTTCACTCCTCCTTTCTTTGTGTTCTAGCAGGATTGTTTGGCTCATTTTATTTATTTACCTCGATTTCTTGCTCCTGGTGATTTAGCTGTGGACAGTGTTCAGGCTCAACTTTGATAAACTGGTGAGCTTTGTCTTCAGGGTCCCATCCCTCCTTTAAAGAAATGCTTGCCCGATGCCAATAAATGAACCAACTGCTGCAAGTTTTGTCTGTCTGGTTTTCTTACAGAGGGTGATTACTCTAGGCCTCCCCTGCTCAGGCACCCAGAGAAGGAATTTGATCAGCAGAGACCTGCCAGTGGCTGAGGTTGCAGCAGGGCCACGTGGAGGCTGCTGGATGTAGTACATGCTGGGAAAACGTGTCGTTTTACCAAGCCCTTCCTTGGAATGAGTGTTTTGGCAGAGCACTTCCCCACAGGGCTTCCTGTTGATGTTTCAGCCCCAGGAAGTACCATATTAGAGGCCTGAAGTGTTTGCTTGCCTAAGGAAATAATCACCCTGTAGCCTGGCCACCTAGCGGTTAGGAATGGCGCAGGAGGTTCCTAGAAACTTAGATGAGTTTAGGACTGGTGGAGGTGCTCTACTGATATAGCTTACTCTTTTTTTAAAAAAAGAATTATTTTAACATTTATTTATTTTTAATTTGATCAGAGAGAGACAGAGAAAGCAAAAAAGCAAGCCACCGTGTATGGGACTCGAACCGCAGCTGGCCATGTGGGAGTCCAGCACCCTTAACTACCATGTCACTTGCTGGCCCCTAAGCTCAGTAGTTTTGTTTATTCCATGAGTGAGAGATGGAGACACAGTGCCCCCGACAGAATCTGATGCATTAGCCACCCCTAGCCTTGGCCAGCTGGATCTTGGGCACCTGTGAGCCTGGGGCACGCTGAGAGGTCTCTGGATGCTAACCACCCTCCCATGAAGGCTCATGCTTCATCATAGTGTCACTGTCTGGCCCCTATTTAAAATTTTGAAGTTTATTTCTTCAATGAGCCAGAGAGACAGCATTCCCAACAGGGTTTTTGTTTTGTTTTGTTTTTGTTTTTAATTATTTTATTTTTGGTGGCTGGCAGGACGCGAACTGTGGTCAGCTACATGGGAGTCTAGTGACATAGCCATTACACTAACTACTGGTCCCAAAAAATAATTCTTTTTTTTTTTTTTTAGAAGTTTTTGCTATAGGGCGCGTGCACTCGCCAGACAGACAGAGAGAGACAGAGAGACAAAAAGCGAGAAATCACCCCCCGGGGGGGATAACCATGCTACAATTCCTTCTCCTCCATTCTCCTCTTGGGATCTTGGGCACGCACGCACATGCGCCCGGCGTGAGTTTTAAGCCACTGGGTCCGGGATGCGAACTGCGGTTGACTACGTGGGAGTCCAGCAACACATCCATTACGCTAACTGCTGGTCATCACCAAAAAATAATTCTTAAAAAAAAAAAAAGGAAGTGTCTATGGGTTCCAGGCCAGCCTGACTCCCCTCCATGTGCAATCAGACAGGAAGAAGATAAAATATGTTCACTTTGCCATTCAACATTTTAAAAAAATTAATTTAAGAACCAGCAGTTGGCTAATGGCTATGTTGCTGGACTCCCATGTAGTCTACCGCGGTTGAAGTCCCAGCCCTGGTGGTTTCAACCCACACTGGGTGCACGTGCATGTGTGCTCAAGATCCAGAGAGGAGAATGGAGAAAGGATTGCGGCGTGGCCATCCCCCCAGGGGGTGATTTCTTGCTTTCTGTCTCTTCGTCTCTGTCTTTCTGGTGAGCGCACGCGCCCTATAACAAAAACCTCTCCTGGGACAGCAGTTAGTGTAATGGCTATGTCACTGGACTCCCATGTAGCTGACTACAGTTCAAGTCCCCAACCCGGTGGCTTAAACTCATGCCAGGTGCGTGTGCATGCGTGCCCAAGATCCCGAGAGGAGAATGGAGAAGAAGGGATTGTGGCGTGGCCATCCCCCCGGGGGGTGATTTCTCGCTTTCTGTCTCTCTGTCTTTCTGGTGAGCGCACCCGAACAAAAACCTCTCCAAAAAAAAGAAAGAAAAAAATTTAATTCATTATTATTTTTTAATTTGACAAGAAACAGAGACAGGGAAAGTGAGAAAGCAAGCTGCCAGGTCTAGGACTCAAACAGTGGTCGGCCACATGGGAGTCCAGCATCTTAACCACCCAGTCCCAACCAGTAAACATTTTTTAAAAATAATTATTTAATATTATTTACTGTTATTATTATTTTTTTAATTTGCTAGTGGGCACATGCACTCACCAGAGGGGGGAGGGGAGGAAGAGAAAGCAAGCCATTAGGTCCGGGACTTGAACTGTAGTCAGTCATGTGGGAGTCTAGTGCCTTAACCACCCTGCCACACGCTGGGCCCAGCCTTCAACATCTTTTCATTCAACTTTCCTGTGCTGGCTAAATGGTCTAGTCTCATCCTTAGGAAGAACCATCCTGTTAGCAGTAGCCTGGAATTAAGTCCTGGTCTGTGTTAAAAGAGGTGTCAAGGAACCAGCAGAGGGCCAGAAGATGGTGTAGTGGTTCTGTCGCTGGACTCCCAGTGGAGTCCAGTGGCCGACCACAATTCAAATAACCAACTCGGTGGCTTGAAAATCACGCCAGGCACGTGTACATGTGTGCCCAAGATCCCAGGAAGAGAATGGAAGAGTTGGGATTGCAGCATGGCCATCCCCTGAAGGGGGATGACTTCTCACTTTCCCTCTTACTGTCTCTGTCTCTCTCCTGTGAGCACACATGCCCCATGGCAAAAACCTCAAAAAATAAAAAAAGAACCAGCAGAGTGGTTGGCTCCATAGCTCAGTGGTTAAGCACTGTGCAGAGGAAGCTGGATCTCACGTGGCTGGCCAGTTCGAGTCCTGGTCCCATCGGCTTGTAAAACACTTTACACACATGAACACATGCCCAAATCCGGATGGCTACGAAATTGGAAGGTAAAGGATTATAGTGTGACCAGGTCCTATTGAGGCTGGTGCTTGCCCTCTCTCAATCACAGGTGCTATGGCATTTAAAAAAAAAAATCCATCAGACAGGGCCAGATGTTGGCACTGATAATGTCACTGTGTCCTGGGGCCTCCCTGTATATGCTGGCACATGTGTGTCTGTGATGCAGGCTGACTGAGGAGGGGGACAGAGTGGAGTGAAGACCCTGATGAGGAGGTGACCTCTTCCCTTATCTCATGGAAGACTGAAATCAACTGATTTTTTTTTCCTTCTTCTTCTTAAAGGCAAGATCTTGAAGCAAAAGAAAGAAAGAAAGAAAGAAAGAAAGAAAGAAAGAAAGAAAGGAAGGAAGGAAGGAAGGAAGGAAGGAAGGAAGGAAGGAAGGAAGGAAGGAAGGAAGGAAGGAAAGAAAGAAAGAAAGAAAGGAAGAAATTGTGCCAGCCTTTGGCCCAGTGGCTCAGGCAGCTAGATCCCATGTGGCCAACTGCCCTGATTGAGTCCTTAACTGTGCAATCTGAGAAACACACCAGGCATGTGTGCATGTGTGCCTCAAATCCCTAAAGGAGGCAGAAATAGAGAAAAAGGCGTGGCCATCCTCTTTGCTGGGTGCTTCTCACGTTCTCTTTCCAGCAAGTATATGCACCCTATAGCAGAAACAAACAAAAAAGCACCTCCCCCCGCAAAAGACAATACAAGTCCACCTCTTGTCATTTTTAAAAAGATTTTTGCCATAGGGTACATGGGCTTACCAGAGAGACAATGAGAGGGAAAGTGAGAAATCACCACCTGGTGGGGATGGCCATGGCGCAGCCCACTTTGGGCATGCATGCACTCGTGCCTGGTGTGGTTTTCAAGCCACCAGGTTTGGGACTAGAACCACAGTTGGCCAAGTGAGAGTCTAGTGTTTTAACCACCACACCACTTGCTAGCCCTGCCTCTTGACATTCAGATTCATCATGTGCAACTTAGAATATTTTGTTTCTGGAATTTTTGTTTTAATTTTTGCCACAGGGCATGTGTGCTAGACAGAGAAAGTGAGAAATCACCGCCCAGGGAGCATCCTCCATTTTGGCCACTCCAAAATCCCTTGGCCCTGCATTCTCCTCTTGAGATTTCGGGCGGCTGTATGTGGCCGCTGACCGCTCTGGCAGGATTCAAGCCAGGTCCCTGACATTGCGAAGCCCATAGCAGCGAAGAAGGAACCAGCAACGCCCGATCCCAGCAAACGGGCAGTCCGGGTAGTTCCTGGGTAGACGCAGGAACACGAAACGTCTGCAGCCTTCGTGCGCTAGGGGTGCAGGGGGTCGCCCGGCCGTCGGGCACTGTCGGTGTAGAAGCACCGGGGCGGCCGCGGAGGGTCCTGCTGGCGCAGCCCAGGAAGGCCCCGAATGCCAGGCCACGAGCTCGGGTTCCTTCTACCGGATGAAAAATCCCGGAGGGGCCTGGGCGGAGGAGAGAGGCCTGGACCTGGCCCAGCCATCTTACAAGAGGGTCCCGGACCGCGCGACAGCGACTGGACACCCCAGCCGTTACTGCGGAACTACCGGCCGGCGGGCACCGCAGCTCCCGGAGCTCGCAAGGCGGGAGGGACCGGAAACGCCGAGCGCAGCCGGAAACGCCAGGCGCCAGGCCTGTGGGCCGGGCTGCGCGGCTGAAGGGCGGGCTCGGCGTTCTCAGCGCGCGTGATTGGTCGGTCCCCCGGCTTCAGCGGCGGCAGCGGGAGCGGGAGCGGCGCGTGCCACCGGCACCTCCGTCTGGTGAGTCGAGACGGGTGCGAGCCTCAGTCCTGCTGGAGCCCGAGTTGCCTCTTGGCGCCGGGCTGTGACTCCCTTTGCCCGGCCCTGCACTCGGGTCCCCCGGGGCGTCACCCAGAGGAGCAGAGCCAGACTGGGGCCTCCCCTCCGACGCGTTCTCGCTCTGCTGCCCCGGGCAGTCCAGCCGGGACCCCTTGGGGACTTTGCAGGGGAGGCCTAGATGAGCCCAGCCGTAGAGAGTGGCCCTGTGGGGGGCGGGGGACGGCCGAGTGGAGGCCCCGGGGCTGGAGCCCTGCAGGCAGGGTCGCCTGGACCTGCAACGACAGCGGGGCGGAGGAGGGGGACTGCGCGGAGCCCAGGGAGGGTCTGGAGCGCAGGGAAGGGGCCGGAGAGGCCATTTGGCAGTTAGATGGGTGGGTCCCAGTGGGAGATGAGACCTCCTGGGGCCGAGGTCAGAGCGCTTGAGGACCCAACACCGTAGGGGAATAGGCCGAAAGAGTGGGAGCCCACCCGGGACAGCCTTGAGGGAAGGTGTGGGTCTAGGCAGAGTGGGCGCCCATATCAGGATAAATCATGGGGTGCAGCCCATGGCGTCCTAGTTGAGACGGCTAGAGCCCACATGGCACGGTTCGAGTCCGGACCCAGCAGCTTGAAACATGCCAAGTATATGCGTATGGATGCCTAAAATCTCGAAAGGGTGGAGATGAAGGTGTTGTGATGCGAGATATCATAAAGACCGGACCACCAATAAATTAGTTTTAGGAGCCTTTATTCCTGGCCAGAGACTGCCATCCTGGCCAGGGACTGCCTCTCCTGCCACTGGCAGGTAGTGTTTGGGACGACAGCCCTGATCCACAGCTTTGCAGAGCATTTAAGCACCAAACTCACAGGGGAACATTACACTTGGCAAGGGTGGGGGTGAGAGGGCTATAGGGAGGAAGGTCTGCAAGGGTTGCTGTATTCCTTTACCAGCAGTCTGTTAGTGTACAGAGCGGAGCAGCGTGTCTTTCCTTACGTGTAACCACACCTTGTCTTCACTCTGCTCGATGGCGTGGGTGAGGCGGGCCTACGGGATGCATCTTAGCCTAACATACACCATTTTTCTTACCTGTTTTAGTCTATCACATTCCCCACTGGCTTTTTTCAAGATTAAAATCTTTGAATCTGTTTATTGTACCAGAATGGGACAATAATGGCTACTTAGAACTATTCATTGTTAAACTAGTTTTCCTTTCTTACCAGTAACCACTTTTTCAGTTGGTTTAAACTTTTTTTTTTTTATCACCCCAGACTTGTTGGTGTAAAAACAGCAAGCTTTACTTGATCCCAAACATAGGCCTCTCTGTTTTAAGAACAACTAAGCCTCTTCTGTTTTGTAAATCCTTTTGGCCAATGAGCCGAGGGATTCTTCTAGTCCAGTTAGTCAAGGTCCTTATTTACCTGGGCTGAGAGGACTTTTAGGGTTTTGTTTTCTCTCAGCCTCACTCCCTAGAGTAACAGTGCATTTTTTTAAAGAGGTTTTTGCTATAGGGCGCATACGCTCGCCAGACAGAGAGAGACAGAGACAGAAAGCGAGAAATCACCCCCCAGGGGGATGGCCACGCTGCAATCCCTTCTCCATTCTCCTCTGAGGATCTTGGGCACGCATGCACAAGTGCCCGGTATGAGTTTAAGCCACTGGGTCCAGGACTCAAACCCCAGTCGACTACATGGGAGTCCAGCGACATAGCCATTACACAACTGCTAGTCCCAGTAACAGTGCATTTAGGTTAAAACTCCAAAGTGTGGGGAAACCCAGGGTTCCGAAACAAGCTAGGACTTACGCAAGGGGTTATGCCACTCGTCAGTCCCAGTGGGGGTCGTCCTTTGTACTTGGGTGTGGTGAATCCCACGTTGCTCCATGCAGCTTGACTACAGTTGGCATAGCACGACGGGAAAAGGACCAGCCGAACAGGTCTCCAGCGAGGCAGACTCCTGCTTTCATATTCACACCAAGTCCCCAGGCTGCAGGTTGCCAGCAGCTGTCACCTGGTTGAAGACCTGAAGGCTGGTAAGCTTCCCGGAGAAGGTGTTGCTTCCTTTTGCTGATACCTGTAAGGCTTGCAGGGACTTCAAAAAGGCATGGTTGGAAAGTTCCCCTTTTATCTCCTCATCAGTCTTGGGGACAAGTGGAGGCAGCCCTCCAAACATTATTTTAAAGGGGGTCAATTCCTGGGGACCAGCAGTTAGTGTAATGGCTATGTCGCTGGACTCCCACGTAGTCAACTGTGGTTCGCGTCCCGGACCTGGTGGCTTAAAACTCATGCCGGGCGCGTGTGCGTGCATGCCCAAGATCCCGAGAGGAGAACGGAGGAGAAGGGATTGCGGCGT